CCAAAAAAAAAAAAAAGGGGGGGGGGCTCTGGGCCGCTGGCACTGCGGGTGGAAGCAACACCGGGAAAAGCAGGTCCTGCTTGTGTCAAGCAGTGATTCCAGACTGGGGAGCCTCAGCCCTGGGGCTGCCTCGAGATCCTTCTGAAGGTGCCTGGCCACCTTGGTGCCAGGAGGGAGACTTCCTTCCACGTGCGAGTCGCCGGATAAAGGCCAAGACTTCAGACCGAAAGCCGGAGTTGTCATAATTCTGAGTTCTCCACAGCAGAATGCACTGCTCTTACCGTTTTTTTTCTAAATGCAGAAAAAGGAGTGTGAAAATGAAGAGCTGGCCTGCATGGAGGGGTGCATCAAGTCTGAAAAGGCTGAGACCCACTGCTCCAAACCAAGGTTCCCAGAGATCTCCTGGAGGGTGCTTCAGGGTGCCAGGCTGCCTTGGCACTGACAGGATTACAGGTGTGATTCGCCAGATGAAGCCTGAGGTTTCAGGCAGAAACCCATAATCATCATCTTTCTGAATTCTCTGCAGCAAAACAAACTAGTCTTACCATTTTTCATAAAAGACAGAAAAAACAAAACTAAGAGCTGGTACATACCAACGGGTGCATTGAATCTAGCCAGAGGTGCCTCAAGTCTGAAGAAGCTGAGAACTGCTGCTTCTAACCAGGGTTATGTGAGATCCTTTTGAGGGTGCTGTGGGGTGCCAAGCTGCCGTAGCTCTCTGACAGTTACAGGTGTGATTCACCACAGAAATGCATAGTCAGCCTTTTTGAGATCTCTATAACAAAACACACTGCTCTTCTCCTTTTTTCTAAAGGCAAAAAAAAAGTGAAAACTAAAAGCTGGTCTGTACTGAGGGGTGTGCAGAGTCTGAAAAGGCTGAGAACCACTGCTTTAAACCAAGATCCTTTCAAGGGTATTGTGGGGTGCCAGGTTACATCAGTGCTGTTAGCATTCCAAATGTGATTTGCTAAGCCCAAAATTTCAAATGGAAACCTATAGTTGTGCTCTTTCTGAGTTCCCTGCAGCAGAACACACTGCTCTTATTTTTTTGAAGGCAAAAAACCCCCAAAAACTGAAAGTTGGCAGGTACGGAAGGGGAGGGGTACCTCAAGTCTATCCCGGGGTGTCTCAACCCTGAAAAGATTTAGAAACCACTGCTCCAAACCAAGGTTCTCTGAGATCCTTTTAGGGGTGCTGCAGGGTACTGCACAGTATTAGCAGTGTTAGGTATGCAGATATGATTCTTAAACCTAAAGATTTCAGATAGGAATCATTAAGATCAAAAAACCTTTCAGATCTCTTGTGGTCTTAGTTCTTTGCAATGGAAGAATTGCTCTGTTATTTTCATATAATAAAAAAACCCATGAAAACTGGCATTTTCTGAGGGGTGCCAAGTCTATAAAGGTTGAGAACCGCTGCTGTAAGGGGTCCATCCTAATAACTGACTCCAAAGCGACAGTTCCAGCTGGCTCACTAACATATACCTGAAGCACAATTACTTTTTACTGTATCTGATCATCAGCCAGCTTGTGGGATGAAGTAACATGTAGTTGGGCTACAGGGCCAGAGCTGGAGGAGCCATGTTCTGGCTGTAACTGGGCTGCTGAGCATTTCCCTAATGCAGGGGTTTTCAACCTTTTTTAAGGAGAGTACCCCTTCTGGTGGGTACCCCCTTCCAGATGTGGAGAGTGGGGTGGCCCCCTGGTGGCCAAATGTGAAGTGGCAACAGCACAGCAACACGCAGGCTTTCCAAGTACCCCCACTTCTCCGTGCTGCTGCTGCATCTCCCCTGGGGCCTTCCAGGTACCCCCAGGGGGTACTTGGGTTGCTTCCCATGTAATTCCTTAAATGGCAAAGCATGTGGCCTATACTGGGAAACTCCTATCAGTGCCTCCACATTTTTGAGATTCCTGCTTACTCCCCCCATTAGTGATGAATGAGGAGAGAAGCAGTGCAGCAAAATGGGAACCTTTTTACCCAGTAATTTCCAGTTAGAAGCTTCTCTGTGCACTTGATCCACCTGAATAATATGGTAACAGCCAGAATCTAATGTTAGCCTCTGATGTCTCTAAAGACAGACTTAATAGTTACCTTATGGTACTACAGTTTTCTTATTTGCTGGAGTGTTGCTACAGCTGTGGAGCTGGCTGGAACAGTGTGCCACCAGGTAGCAGCACCTGCGGAGGCCACAAGCACCCCAAGGGGCTATGCACCCTGGGGGGAGGGGAGTATATGTGGGGATCCCCCACCTTCCATCACACCCCACAAATCCACACCCTGCCCACCCAAGCTCCCTGCTTCCGTTGTCCCCCTGGGCACAGGCTTCACGCTCCCACTCAGCTGCAGCCCCACCTGCCCTGAGCCCCACCAGCTGCTTCCCTACCTGCTTCCAGGAGCCAGTGCTGCAGCAGGGACAGGAGGAGGAGCTGCTGGAGACCAGGGAAGACAAGCAGGTCCCCTGGCTGCTGCAGCAGTGGCAGCAGCAGCCCCACCTGGAAGCTGTGTGCTGGCTGGGCTGGGCCAGGGTGGGAATGAGGCACACAGCTTGGATGGGGTAGTTAACTGGTAGACACCTGTGGCTGGATGAAATTTCCCGGCAGGCCAGATAGAATAGCTTTTTGCCTGTCCCTGGTCTAAGCTGAAGGGGATTGTGTAGCTCTGCCGCCCCCATATACAACACTGGATGGTCTCTGAATTTCACAGGTGAAAGTTAGGACCCACTAGTAAGGAATGAATAGTCAAAGGTATCACATAAGAAATTTCCCACTTTGGTCTCTGCCACTTTAAGAGCATGAGGCAGGTGTTGCCCCAGCTCTGAATGGCCATTGTAGATCCAGACCAGCAGAGCTGGAGGCACCAGTTGCTGCCTGGCATTGAGGGAAGCAACATCTCCAGGAGGAGCTGCTGCTTTGAGAACTAGGAGGTAATGGCAGGAGCTCATGGGGGTGGTTAAGAGGCTCCTGGTCCTGGACATGATGTAAAACTGTACCCTGCCAGGGAAGGGTGGCTTGGTAGGGCTCCTAGTGTGGGAACCCCCAGGAAATGCCAGGCCAGTTACTTCCCCAGTGAAAGGCAGGTAGAGGTGCCTTAACCCCAGCCCCCACCTTCAGGTGGGTTATCATCGGTGGCAGTTGGGGGCCAGGCGCACCCCAGAGTGGCACATGAACCCATGTAGGGTGCAAGACCCTGGAGAGTGGAGCCAGGCATGGCTGCAGCCACCTAAGCCCGTGTGGGGTGCAAAACCCCAGTGAGAATGGTGGGCCAGGCCTGCCGATGAGTGGCACCTGAGCCTGTAGGGGTGTTCAACCCCAGCAGCATAAGAGGTAGAGTATGTGCCTCAGAGGTGGCGGAGGTGCAGAGAGGCACCTATTGGCAGGCACAAGAGCGGAGAGCTCCTGAGAGCAAGGAGGTGCAAGAGGCAAGGCCCTGAGGACAGGGTTTGCAAGGTCCAGATAAGCCTTTGGGTGCCTGAGGCCAAAAAGGAATGCTCAGGTAGGAAGCTGAACTGAGTAAGTCCTCTGCTGAGGGGAGGCCAAGTGGGGGTCAAAAACTAGAGCAAAGGAGAGCACAATGACCTGCTGCTCTAGGGAGGGAATGAGAGTCCCTGAGACCCAGGATCACCGGGGGGGGAAGGTGCGTGCGTGCGTCACCTGCGAGGCTTGGGACACAGTACAGGTGTGATTGGAACTGTATACATAGGCCCAGGAAAACAGGGCATTCAAAGGGCAGCCTCCTGCTGAGTTAAGACCCTAATCATTTAAAAAGGTGAGGCAGGAGAGGGAGGCGGGTTGTGCCCAGAGGCAGGTGGGAGACTAGCACTGTGGCTGCTAAGGGAGTTCCTCAGTCTCCTCAGCACAATGAAGACAAGAGGACAGAGGGCCAAATGGGAGGACAACCAGTCCCTAATAGCTTGGACTATGTCAGGGGTGGGTAAAATGCAGCCCGTGGGCCGCATGCAGCCTGCAGGGCCCCTAAAAATTTAGAAAATTAATACTTATCTGCCCCAGCTGCCTGTTATGCAGCCCTCGATGGCTTGCCAAAACTCAGTAAGCAGCCCTCTGCCCAAAATAATTGCCCGCCCCTGGACTAGGCACATTAAGTGCAGGGCTTAGTCACTCCTTTGTCAAATGAAAGGCACTGGAAGCAGCTTGGATACTGCGAG